TACTCATTCCAAGCACAACCAAAGAATCCTTTGCATACGCACAAACTTGGCGGAACACATCTGGATACATCCGAAATTCCGATGGCCTCATGCCAAAAGTGTGTAATGCGGTTTCCGCTTGTGGACCACACCGACGAGAAAATATCATTATCTATTTCCGATGTTGAAATCTAGCAAAGATAAAACCTCGCCAGTTGTGGGGTCCCATACAGGGTGAGTGACAGTAAATAACTGTACGTATCATCTTTAGACGACTAGTAATGCAGTTCGAATGGTGCCCCGAAATATCTTCCGGTTAAGGAAGCTTCTTAAGATTTGGCCGTTTTGGCAGACCGTTTTGAATACAGCCAGTGAAAACTCGAGAAATAGATATTTACAAAGTAGTTCCAATTGTATCTGGAATGTGCTGTCGTCAGTCTGTGCCAGTTGTTTGAGTTATATGAGCTGACTTTAGGGGCATAACTCACACGGAATTTCACCTTCAGTGAGCTATTCTGTCAGAGGATAACCCAGTTACAGAAACAGGATCCAGAATTAAGCCATCCGGGACAGAAGTGCATCTGAATCATCTAAATGTGAAAATTGTACCGTGGATAGTTTGTGTCATTTGGTGCCACGAGTTGCCTAGTTGGTGAAGAAAGTTCTGAGAAAGTTGTGCGTTTGGGACTCGCTTTTAAGCACCCAGCCTCTTGTTCTTGAGGCAGGGAGCTTGGAACCTTCAGGAAGGGTCTTGCTAGTTACCTTTGTATGTTTGCGGAATTTCTTAAATTTACGTGCATGACACTTTCTTTCGTGGAGTCCCCTTCAAATCGACGAGATGAGCACGATTTCTGTGAAAACGTTTCGCTTGAGAGCCGGTGGTAAGACATGCTCGCATGCTGGATGTTTGTAGCTAAACTACTCGTAGAGCCATTTATGAGCTCTAGTGAGAGGGAAACTTGACCAAAGATGGAAATGAAGGCACTTTTCAACCAGTTTTTGGTCAAGTTTGATTTTCTGGTCACAGAACTGGATTTGAAAGGCTATTGGAAAGAAACAATAGTTAACCCTGGGCTGCATTTGACGTAAGTGATGCTAAAGCTATCGGTGAATGATACGTCTAAGAACAACTTCAGCGGTTATGGTCATTAACACTATAAAATGATGATTGATGCGGGCAAGTAACGATTTATTGAACTAAAGTGCAGTGAATTATGAGGCCCAGAGGACATAATTGCCCACAATAATGTCGGGAGTGGTGACAAACAGATCTCAGGTAGCTTATGCTCACCAGACACTAACCAACTTCCTTTGCTAGAATATCAAGAAAGCCATGCCTTTAACACAAAACCTGAAGAAGGCCGTAAGACATACGCCCCCGAAGATAGTGAACTGGTAGACAACAAATATTTCGTACACAAAACAAGGCTGTCAATCAGAAACCGATCATCAGGAATGTCTGCCATGTTTCTTGAGGTCACTAGCTGTTGAAAAGCGCATGAACGCCGCTTACTGCGGATTCAGCTCAGTCAACGTTCCAGCGTCGTAAAACAACAAGCAAAAGCATATGATGTCCTATAATGATAAAGCATGCGAGTTGGATGGTTCAGAAGACTTGGCCTACCACAGCGCAGTAAGAGAAAGGAGAGTAGCGAAATATTACATTCAGTGTATGTGATCGACAAATGCAATGTGGTTAGGTCAAAAAGAGAGATCACAGTACCACAATGCCTGTGAATCACCGATTTCTATATTTCTCTGAAGGACAAGAAAGGCAAATGATATTTTTATACTGAAATAGGTCTATCCGCACGTCCAAACTGAAGAAAACACTATACTTCTACTGGGTTTTGGGTTGTCAGTCCGTTCACCACAAATATATTGACATCAACTCAGGAACAGCACATGTGGTATGATGACCAGGCTCATAATCCACAAGGGTTCCACAACATTTTGGATGTATGTGTGGTTTGGTTCAGGTGACAAAGTTATTCATGCCATACTGTAATCGTCTAATTTCATTCGTCAAAGCTTTTATCCCGAAAATCGCAGTATGAACTGGTCTTTCGTGCAGTATGCGTCCCTTAAACATGCACAACAATGCTCTGAATATCTGTGTCCGCCAAATCGAAACGGGCCATTGATTCAGTTCAAAAATTTGGATGGTCAGAATCATACAAGTTCAGAAAAAGTCAAGAAAAACAAGTCATCCTGGAAGCACTGGGTGTAACAGCTGACCGGTAGAACGCAACGGAATTTTGACTCTAATCACACGACATATAAAGGATTCGAGCCACTGCTAATCAAAGGTCCGCTGGTCACAGCTGAAATGCAAGGTCTGAAAGGCTAAATATGTTTTTGCCCAAGCAAGGTATGTGGTTGGAGGAAGTTTCGAACGACGGACTAGCATCTGCTCCGATTGTGTCGATCGATCGGTTCACCTGCCCGGACATCTGAGTCATGTAGGACTTTAGACGTTTGAACCTTTTAGTGAAAAACTACATTAGTTCCGGTCTCATTGATGCGGGATATGATTGAAGACCATTTCATTAAATTTGTTTTGCCCGAAACGGAGTCACTTTTTTAACGAGCGAGTCCAAGGGCATGTTGGTTTACATTGACTTACTTCATACTCGAGGGTAAAACCACGACGTTCGAGCACAGCTTCTGCATCCATCGCCGTCAAGTTCATGTGAATGCTCCTCTAAAGCGGCGACATTCGGTGACTCCATCAAATGCTCGTTAGGACAAACATGGAAGCGGCTTCGACAGTTCCGTCTTCCATAGATAGAGAAAGTGTTTTACTCATACCTCTAACTCTCATTTTGCCGAATCGTGGTACGAATGTAGACAAGGTCTCAATTCACGGACCAACTGCTGGCGACAACATCCTCCGAATCCCTCACAAACTTTGAGTGTGTAGTGGTGAAAGCACAATTCACTCAATCCAAAAGTATGTAGCCCGGAATCCTCCCATTTTGGTGACTAACTAGCTTGTATATCCTACATTTGGTAGTAAACTTAATGAAAAGTAGTGCTGTAGTATTAGGTCATCTCAAGAATCGGGTGTATGGCACCCTCTGCACGCGGACATCGCTGTTGCAGTCTACTGAGTTATGTATCCTTTTGCGTCCTGTAAAAAGAGAGTTTGATATGTGTGCCGAATCGGTCGTGATGCTTTGACACAACCAGCCATATTCAGACTCGAAGCGGGGGCTTCATCATTGAAGTTATCTGAACCGTAAACTCCGATAGGATCCACTCGTAACGAGGGATGTAACATGTTTTCCAGGTTACGCCATTCTGCACAACATTATTGTCGGCAAAACTTGTCATACATAAAAAGAACACAGTGTGAAAAAATTATCAGTTCGTAGACCCGATAAGTACCTAGGAATCCCAAGTGCTGCTAATGGTCCACAGTGTTTCGCAGTAAAATATGAATACATGCAATTGAGTAAGGTATAAGATGAGTGTTAAACGCATAACCCCAGTGCTCCCGTTGGCAGTCTGCTTTAAGTTCTGTTTACACGTGATGGATAGATTTCCAAGTTTCAAGCCTCAGCTTCATCCCACATATCACCGTACAATGAAAAACTGAAGAGAATCTGATACAACGACATTGCCTGTGGTCAGTTGGTTATGGCGATATCTACGGACTATTTTGTGAGCTGTATAGAAGAATGTAGCCATCGAGTGACCACGGGAGTGTATGGATACAACTTACAAGGTCTTGGAGGCCCTCTAAGTTACGGTTTGAGTCAGCCGGTAGCTTCCATTAAGAGTATGAATATGCGACAGCGATTCTTTATCCGGTTCTGTTCCCATCAGTGTTGATGACACTGCACAAATTATCACATAACTCCGAATCAATTGTTGGTACTTTGACACCGGTGTGTAACTTACCAGTGGATTAGCCGTTGTTAATAAACTAATCTGCCGCTTATCATCCATCTGATGTAACAGTCAGCATACAGTGAATAGCAAAATGCAGTGCATGGAAACAGAATGTATTATTATATCCCTGGAATCTTTTTTTCGATTTATATGTGGAACTGTCATCCACCCGATGTCATTGTTTTCCTCATAATAGTCACTAGCATTTAGCAGTTTCCGATACGAAGCCTTTATTCTTTAATGTACTTCAAAATATGGTGGCATTTAACTGGATCACCCGAAAGCATCCCATTCTGTACGTAGTAATGTATAAAGCGTTCATAATTGTGTACACGGCTAAACATCCACATTAGAGTTCATTAAGGTTGACGAATGGTGCTGCTTAAGTGCGCAGCATGAATAATTGTCAAAACAGTGTACCGGTATGAATAGCTAGTTGTCCGAACATATCAATCTGCTCGATTAACTCCTGTTTTTTTGGACAGGACGACAAATGACATGCTATCCCCGGTTTGAATGATATTTTGTTCTTTTGGCGAAATTCCGAGCAAGATGACCTGGAAAAAACTCAAATCCTGTGGCCTTCTTTATTTGCTTTACCTAGAATTATTCGAATCAAGTTTAGAAAATAGTGCGGACAAGTTATTTTAAAACCCATTGATACAATTGACAGAAGCAGCGTGGCAATTACTTTATTTCCTATCCAACCCACGGTTCCATTAATTGCGCAGAATAAAAGGAAACAGTTAAACACTATCATAAACGGGAGATTTAGTTGAGTCTCTCGTGAAAACCAAAGTGATATGCAAATGAGTGTATGTGTTGAAATCTATCCAATATGGAACATAAGGTTGACGGAAGCTCTGAGAATCTGCCTATCTGATAAGCCCCAGAAAGGGTGGAACAGGTGGTGGGCGGCCGAAGAGTTTTCAGGAAACTTGTGAGTAGCGATGGCTTCCATATTCCTATACTATATAACTTTGTTTTTCGGTTTCGTTTCTCCTAAACAACAAATATATTTATAAAAAGTAATGGACACTAGCATAACCGTTAATAAGTGCTCTCTGAGATCTGCCGAACTACTCCATCGTTTAATTAACTTTCCTATCTCCTTTCACTAACAGGCCCCTGATGTAAACCGCCGTCACCTGACCATTCTAGAAAAACTTTACAAGCATAAACCAGTGTGTATCAGACTATTTCTCTCCTGACTGTATGAAAAATAGGAGACAGTTATCAATAGGAGACAGTCGAAAAAACCGGGTGCACCAACCCATACGGAAAGGATCTATAACATGTGCTTCGGCCTAATAAAGACATTCATATCTGCAGATGGTACTAAAGAAAACTGTCCAATTTCTATTGTCCTCGGAAATATCCAAATGACGGTTTCTTTTCCTAGGGAGCTTAATGTGAGGCGCACCAAGCGGTTTCGACATTACACACCAAAGGAGGATAATCGAGGCTTAGCCAAATATAAGCAATAGAGTAAGCACACCGGATGACTCGTTCAGCTCATATTCACACACAAGAGACTACTTTACCAAGTTTTAAGCCGATATAGGCAGCAGACCCTGTTGCCCAATTTGAAATGTCGCATTACCACTTATTTACACAAACCGCAGGTTTGAAGCTTGAATTAAGGTATTAGGGACGTAGCCGAACTGAATACTCTGTACAGACTAACCAACTGTCAGAATTCATTCAAAAGATCACTCGTTCATTCAATCCTTACCTAATGGATCCATTATTATTGTGACTGCGATCACAGAGTTTACTTAGAATGTTGGTGACTCAGATTTTGCAGGTAAATATGTGTCTTTGCATGTTCTTGTGAAAGAAAGCGATGATAAAACTTGTATTAGACGTTTTAAACCATGGTAAAGTAGCATCAGCATCTTGAGGTACACGCATGTTTGAATGCGCACCCTTAGGCCTAGTGGTCAGTATGATTCTATTTCCGATGCTGTTAGAAGTTTCACTTTTGGAAATCGGGGAGCAACACGGAGAAACAGATTCTCCAAATCATAGCTTTTATCAACAGCCAACATTGTTCCCATCCACCCAGTCAATTGTCTGTTCTGAACCAAATATTAAGAAAACATGTTCGCAAATAATGCGTAACAGTAAAAAATGAGAACAACAATACTGCCACTGCTGGTTTTCAGGTGCGAAAACAAGCCTGTTGGCACTATCCGAACTGGCATACTTTGTCCTCTGTCAGCAATGTCTCCTGGGAACTGCCAAAGTCGTAGCGTAATTCTCGTTTGCTAAGCCCATGGATAGGGTTAAATATCGAAAGTGGTAGGCAAGACGAACTTCGTGTTTTTTTAATTCCTACTTGAGCTAGTCAGAGACGCACAGAGTCCGAAGCTGTAACCTGTCGGATGAAAGTTCGAATAGTGCGATTTACTCACGAATGGCTTTCGTTCAGGCATCATATAAAACTACTCATCCTCTGACCACACGGTTCACATCATTTCATCTGGTTTTGACAAGAACGAATGCTCTTCACTAATTTGCCAACCATTACAGAAGTAGCTGTATCCAACAATGTAGATATCAGCCATCACTTTGGTCATATGGTGTGAATAAAGCCAATCTAGTGACCGAGGAATGCTGTGAATCCCTTTTGATGAGTTCAGGTTGGCAATTCTCACAATTAGCTAGCATATAGACTTCACATTCAAGTGTAATATTTGGATACCTATAGTTGCAGTGTAAGGAGCTGTGATATCTATGTTACTCACGGTTTAGCTGACCTAGGATCCAACGTAATACTTATTTGTTTGTCTCAGCTGCTAGCACAAGTTCACACCATGCGGAAATAAAAAACGTGCTTTAATAATATGAATAATCTCGAGGATGTAAACTAATCCCCCCTCAATTATGCTTCACCAGAAACACCCCGGTGATCTCAGTCAAGTAGGTAACCGGCTTTCAAGCGTTATAAGCCTGCTCAAACCCTCAGCCAATAGTAATAACAAATAACAAATATTAATAGTAATAATAATTACAAAATGATATTCTGAAGTCCATTTTGTCACCACAATTGAGACAATCATTTCCAGGCAGCAAAATAGATATTGCAATGAGACGCCGCTGGACAACTTTTTTAGTCTTCTTTAAAACTCTAGTTATGTGTTTGGGATTTCTCTGCAAAAGCATCCTCAAGAATCTTCATCAAATCAAATCCAGGTTCAAATCTGCCGCTCAATTTAGCCGTAGAGCATATCCAAGGAAAACGGATGAGAGGAGATACATGTATGCCGCCCCACGCCTGAGAAGCTGATTCGATTTGATTCATGGAATGGTAGAAACGGATGGTAGAAATGGCCTGTCCTGTACAGGTGGCGTATAGCTTCCATAAGGATTCATAGGCAACCATTGGAAATGGGGGGGGGGGCTACACAATTATTCCAATCAATATGGACGGTAAGTGGTGCTCAGGCAAAGGGGGGGGGTGCTACACAATTATTCCAATCAATATGGACTGTAAGTGGTGCTCAGGCAAAGTTGGGTAGTTTCGGTTCGGGGCGTTCGGCTAAATCCCCATTTTTGCTTAGCAACCAAAGGAAGTCTGTTCCCTTTTCGTATTTTGTTGTTTCTTTTCTGTTCAGTTTGGAAAAGGGTGTGCACACAATCACAAAATAAACATGGACTGTCCCAACTGCCCACTATTTCCCAGAATTTTATTTACCGTGCTTTTCCCGATGGTATCAAAATCAGTCTGCTATTTATTGCCACTAGCGTTCCCACCCTCTATTCCACTGTTTGCTTGATCGCTCGCAATTTTAGTACCGAACAAAGGACATTATCTACTATAGGGTATAGAACATAAATCCCATGAGAAATCAATGTTGGCCTGCTGGCAAACTGTCACACTACCGTTAGCGAACCTAGTCCACTAATGGAAGGTTTAATTTTTGCCATGAGTTTATGAACGTCAATGCACAGGCACATTTTGAGGGCTAGATGAAACTATCCTAAACCGCGGACACCTGGAATATTAGAATAAGCAACTCGTGTTTGTTTGTCTTAAAGATCGGTCTCAAACTGGAGTTACTGATTTATGCACGAACACCATTAGGTAGGAGTTGCTTGCGGTAAATTTTCATGGATAGATGAAGTACAGGTGTTACTATAAGGATCGAAGAGATGTTTGATGTTAAATAATCCAGTCCACATCTACTACTGTGAAGACCGTTTTCATGAGTTGAGAAGCAAAGAATGAATGTAGATACTTTTAGAAAGTGCCAACTGATGATACTGAAACTCTTACACTGATAATCGCTAGCTGTTGTACATTGCCTGGCTCATTTTGAATGACATAAACTAACTTTTTTTCACCTTCCAGCGATGAGTACGCCCTATTTCACGCAACTTGACTACCTGAGGATCTGAGCTATTCAGCCGCGTTACCAGTCACGCAATGAGATTTTGTCGAGTGCTTGGGCTTGCACTACGTGGAAGTATTCGTAACCCAGCCACCGTCGGTTTCACCCTCCATTGTACTTCGCGTGATTAATCGCATTACACACAAACTTCTTCGGTTGCACGCGCCTCAGACAATTTTAGAGCTAAGCGCTGAAGGTAGCCAGTACGGTTAAAATAATCTCTTAAGCGAGTGTGGGATGAACAAATCAAATTCCGTTGCAAATGAACTTTTTACTTTGCATGATCTAAAAGAGTAACTGTTTTCACTGTTTAAAAGCACTGGCAAGATTATCCTGGCCCATTTTGAAGGGATAGACAATATTCGCGTGAAATCAGTCATAAAGTTCGTGTAAATAGGGCCGAATTGATTTTTGTGGGAGAAACTGTCCTTAGATGTGGAAAGCATGTTGGCAAGTCTACGCTATTCAATGAGGGGAGCACAGGCGAACAGAGAACGCCTGACACTTAATATGTTGCACACAAAGCACGTTAAGTTAGGGTGAAACACAAGTCATCTGGTGAAAGCACCTGCGTAGAAAACAGAACCTATTGACAGGATAATTTTCCCAAGCATGGTGAACAGCAGAATGCCCACCTAAAAGAGTATATTTCACCGAATTTAAATTCTGTACTGACAACTCCACTGAGGTTATACGGGACACTGCGTCTTCTGCCAGTTTCTCTCCACGCACAATATCTAAATGTCCTATCAACTTAAATAAAATTTCCTAGTAGAAGGACTTGCCCCATAACTTCTCCAACCTCCCTGGAAATCACTAAAGAATAAGTACTATACATGTTATTCACCAAAGCTTGTCTCCTATCTATGACCTCCTCCGGTCAGTTGATCAGAAAAGTCGTAGCATATGTGATGCTGGAGCTTCTCATAGGCACCTCTTTGCTCCGAATCTAGGCAAGTGCAGTTATGTGTTCTGATGTGGTTTTCACCGACTTTTTCTCGGGTTTTCCACTATAAACAGGGGACACCTTACACACAAGCATCAATCTACCGTGTGCTCTACCTCCTCCCTAGGTTAGCTGTGCGATTTTTACCGTCGTTTTAAGGTCACAAAGGATGGACGGTAGTGTGCTCCACTCTTCACCGAAATACTATTGTCCTTCAAGGCCCACTTCTGTCACTGGTTATTGTAGCAACGTATACTAAGGATATTCTAGCCATCCACTCTGGCTATCTACTTAAATGTGCTGGTGAATTCGCTTTTTGCCAAATTTTCCTTCCACTCTAGCACGGATCATTTCGTGACAGCTTTATGCGCTATAACTTTATACTCTTTCTCTGAAATAAACCACAATTCACCTTTCTACTTTGTTGAAGTGACATTTTTATGCTACCCTGTTTTTTGTCTCAGCGAAAAAATGTTTTCAGAAAATCTGCTTCTTGAAATCTATGGGTGTTTACGTACATCAACAAAACCTAATCTCAGCTACTAAACTGGGCTATTCTCAAAGTTGAGAGAGCTCTGTTTTGAGAAAAACGACACCACCTTATTTATCCTGGAAATATCTGGTGTGTAATTTCATGTATCCTCTTGCCGTCCTTCAGTACTTCCCTATAATCTTTCTTCACCTAGATAAGAAGGACTTTTACCTTTAAACAGGGCGCTTTAGTCATCTTGTGAACCAGTTTTATTTTGATATAGCGCTTATATGTTGCCTCTCAAGTAGTTATCTTGTCTGTTCACCATTATCTTCGCATGTACTCCTTGAAATCCTCGAAGTTATCTAT